CAGTACAAACACCTGTTGGTAACTCTCCTTCAGAGCATGCGGTCAACCTCAATACCTTAGTGACCGCGCCACCCCAGATAAACACAGAGGGGGCTCAAAATACTGTTACTGCTCGCGCAGGGCTACCACCACACACACACAGGATGTCTCGTCGCTACACATTCCATTATCCGCTTCTTCATGGGCGGACAGCATGGACGTGGAGAGCGTCAACAATGCAACCACACGACAGGAGCATGTAACAACTGCGGATGAAAATATGTCCGTAAGAGAAAAGCGACCTTACGAACGCGACGGCCGGGCCACAAGAGTGAGTCCTGTTCGCAAAGCGAAAGTGTTATCGCAGAGTGAACAATTTCAGTTACAGGACAGGCAGGAATCTCTGGAACTAGCAAAGGCTGTTATAAACAAAATGTGTGCCTCTAGCCGAGGACGTCCTAATAACCCTACTAACTAACAATGCGACCGGCACATGTGTGCATCCCCACCTGTATGCCCAATTTACCTGCCTCCATTTTTTTCTGTCCACTGTTCCTTTTTGTCCACTTTTCCTTTTTGTCCACTTTTCCTTTTTGTACACCTTTCCATTTCCTTCTCTCTGATACTATAACTACATTTTTGAGATACACATGACAGAGTTATTTACAATTTTAACTTTAAATATTTGTGCAGTTTTGGCCAGTGTGCGCTTGGCGGCGCTAGAGAGACTGATTCGAACACAGGCAGTTGACATAGCATTTTTGCAAGAAGTAGTGATTCGAGATTTTATAGGGTTTCATACCATCAATGTGTATACAAAAGTTGGTGATCGGGGACGGGGGACAGCGATTATTACATGTGCGAGGCTGGAACTTGAAGACCTGCGCTACCACCCGTCAGGCCGAGTGATGTCAGCACGAATAAACGATATGTCGCTAGTCAATGCTTATCTCCCTCCGGCTCCCAAGCGAGAGATGAAAGAAACCAGTTTTTCCCCGTGGATTTGATTCCATTTTTCCATCACCCTGTAATCAGTTCAAACTCAGTGGAGATTTAAACTGCATAGTTCACCCCAATGATCATCAGGGTGGCCTTTATCCTACTAACGCTCCCCTATCTACTTTAATCACTCGCTTAGACTTGTGTGATGTTGCATCTAACTTCCAAGGAATTCAATACTCCTATGTGACTTCACAGAGTCGGTCTAGGATTGACCGATTCTACGTGAAAAAACAGCATATACATAAGGTGCATCGATATGACGTTCTTCCGGTAGCTTTCAGCGATCACTCTGCAGTGATATTTACGTATGAAAAGTTTGCGAATGTAACACAGTTTGGCAGAGGGACATGGCGTCTAAATACGTTTTTATTAGACAGTTCAGAAGTAAAAGAGGACTTCCTAGCTATAGACCGTTCACGGTAAAGTGAGCACTTTTTGAAGCTGTTTCATCAGATATAATAACCAATAAATACATTTCATTGTGGCCTCGGACTTTTGGTTTTGGGTATGGTGAATGTATACACTGCGTTTATTACTCACATGGCAGGGTTTATATTAATAAGTGATGGAAGGATATAAATTGGTTGAAAGAAAAAAGTAACGGGCTTTAAAAGTGCTCACTTTACCGTGAACGGCCTATAACTGGGTACGTTGGCATAGCAAGAAATACCAGTTCCCCTCTGTGGCGATGTGATGGATGTGTGTGTAAAACCGAACGTCATGAGGCTATTTAAAAGGCATGCGTACCGACTAGCAGAAGAACGCAGGGGAACACGTGCATTCTATGAGCGTATGCTACACGAACTTCACCTGCAGGCAAACAATGGTGCACACGTAACTCCACGTATTAGAGGTACGAAACAGAAGCTTATGCATTTATTCAATGAACAGTTTAAAAATCGTTGTATTATGATAAATGATAAAAGTATATTCGCAGAAGAGAAATTTGGTATGTTTAGTTTAATTAAGGAACAACAGCAAATACGACGCAAGGTTATCAATCAGCTTACTGACAGAAATTGCGCTATTATTCGGGACCGGTCGCAAATAGTGCAAACGCTTTGCAGTTACTTTGCAAATTTATACTCGAAACAAGACACGGACGATGCTCTGCTTCCATCGGTTTTACAGGATTGTGAAAACAGGGTTAGCTATGATGACAGCAAGACGGACATGGAGGCGCCATGTTTAGATGCGGAAGTTAATACAATAATACAGCATTTGCCATCAAAAAAATCTCCTGGTGTTGACGGTAATCCATACAAATTTTACCAAACTTATTTGGATATTATTGGTGCCGACTTCTGCGAAGTTGTTCGCGATATGCTTGAAAGAGGGGAGTTATGCAAGTCTCATAAAGAAGGGATAGTTGTTCTTATACCCAAAGTATCCCGTCCACTTAAACCTAGGGATTATAGGCCAGTTACACTTTTATGTGCCGATTGTAAAATAATTACTCGGTTTTGTGCAACCTGATTAACCAAGGGATTGTCAGATATTATCGGTCTCGGCGAGACATGTACTGTTCCAGGACGTTCCATTTCACAAGGCGTGCTTGCCCTAAGGGACACTCAATTACTTTCGTAAATACAACACAGTAAAATGGCCATCTTGAGTATTGATATGAATAAGGCATTCAATAGAGTCGATCATAAATTTTTATTTCATGTTATGCATCATTTCGATTTTCCAGCCAATGCAGTACAGTGGGTGCGGATGGTGTGTACCGGAATTTGGTCACAGCTGTTGGTTAACGGATTCCTTACCCCACCAATTAAGATCGAGAGTTCAGTTCGACAAGGATGCCCGCTATCCATGATTTTATTTACTACCGCCATTGAACCTCTGTGCAGAATGCTCAGTGCCCGCTTGGAAGGATTCCCCATAGCGAACCTGTTCTTAAATTAAATGCCTATGCTGATGACATCACGTGTGTCGTTCGTTCAGAGCGGGAAATTAGAGAGACGGCAGAATGCCTGGACCTTTTTCGCAGTGTCTCTAATCTGCGAGCGAATGCTAACAAAACTGCCGTACTGGAGCTCAGCGCAACCAGCGAGCCATTTGACGACGTTTTTCCCTTTCGGAGGGCCGAAACTGTGAAAATATTGGGCATATACTTCCACGCAGACGCCATCTTATGTTGCGTTATAATTGGAACATGGCAATAAATAAACTCTGTGCTCGTCAAATAGAAATGAATTATCGCCGTACAAATATTATACAGAGGGTTACTTTAATAAACGTATTCTTACTTGTGAAACTGTGGTATGTGTCCCATATATTCCCACTACCTCGTCAACAAAGCGCACAAATACTACATATAGTTGACCGCATGTTGTGGAAATCTTATATATTTAAATTGTCCAGGTTGCAACTTTATTTTTCCTTGCAAGACAGAGGCCTGAGTCTTATTAATCACGCTTTGAAGTGTGAGGCCTTATATGAGTCTTCAGCCATTGCAACAATTCTGCGCCCAGCGAACATTTACGCAGGATTACAGAAAGTGATGTGGTATGAAGTTACACGCAAGCCACTTCAATACCGTCAGGCAAAGGAAGCACTCGCAACTCTAGTAGAACACTTACCGGAAGGGACAGTCGCATCAGCGAGATATTTGTAAATTCGGGCTTCCAAAATGTCGGCAGTCATACCTTCTGTTGTGAATCGCACCCCAACCATCCACTGGAGGCGACCATGGGAAATACTTGCCGATCCTAACCTTTCCTCGGATCTTCGAGCTACAGGATTCGGCTTCTACAATAATATCGTGGCAACTCAGCAGCGTAAATACATCATTCACCTGACAGCTGACCCTGCATTTGCATGTCCGCTGTATGGCAACACTGACACGGCCCTTCATAGGGTAATATCTTGTGTTTATGCAGCTCCCATCTAGCAGTGGTGTCGCGTACGGGTACGAAAAATAATTCGCGATGGACATGGAGATGCCAGCGACACGCACATGCTTCATTGCGATTTATTCACTTTCCCCTCAGTTTGACGAATAGCTGCCGGCTGGTTTGTACTTCATGCGATCGGTTTTTTGGTGGACCGTTCGACACCGGTGACAGTTCAAGACTTTGTCCAGCTCCTTCATCAAGATAGGTGGAACATGGCGTGGCGTGGCACATTGCGTCAGTGGTACGGCAATTTTTTATTTTCATTTTGACGTTTACGCTTAAAGGAAGTGCGTGTATATTACCGAGGTTGGGTATACGCAATGCGCTGCCCACCCCTCGGTCCTTACAAGTGTACACCTTAATGTTACAGTAGTAATCGTTGATAGGTGGTAGTGTTATAGGTCAGTGTCCTGTGTCGGGGTGTACGCCGTGCGCTGCCCCTCACATTAAATAATTTTGTGTGTGTATATATACATATATATATACTTCAGTGTTTACTGACAATAATGGAATATTATTGTTTGGTAATCTCTAGTGTTGAAAACTGCCCCAGTATTGCATGCAGCTCACAATCCATTACATGGCACAACCGAGGACATTGAGAATGTGAGGCGCACGTGTTAACCACTTTTTTGTGTTAAATTTCTCTATTGTATGCTAACCACTTTATATATACGCAAACACACACACATATATATGTATGTATGCTAACCACTTTATATATACATAAACACACACATATATATATATAATTTAACACAAAAAAGTGGTTAACACGTGCGCCTCACATGCTCAAGGTCCTCGGTTGTGCCATGTAGTGGATTGTGAGCTGACTGCAAAACTGGGGCAGTTTTCAACACCAGAGGTTACCAAAAAAATAATATTCCATTATTGTCAGAAAACACTGAAGTTTGGTTCTTCGACTTTGTCAGTAAACGCAGTTCGCCAAATTTTCATATCGTTTTGTGCCCCCATGTAAGAATTGCGTAGATATTTTATTGAGTATTTTGTTATTGTTTATAGCGTGTGTTTGAATGTGTACTGTATAATAGGTTAAGGGTAAACACCTCTGTATATTGTTTGTGACAATACATTTATTTACTTATTTATTTAAAAAAAACGTAGAGCAGTTGGCAGCGCTTAAGTCTTATAATCCTAAGGTTGTGAGTTCGATCCTCACCCAGGGCACTTATTTCTCTACTTGCGCTTGATGTGAGATCTTTCTGAATTTAACTTTGCAAACATTTTATTGTGCCCTTACATTTTTGCTTTACGCGAAAGAGAGTACGTGGAATTTACATAAAAGAAATGCATTCATGATACATTCTACTGTATTTTTCTAATGATTTCTTGAAATTTTTCCAAATGATAAATAAATTAAATTAAAAAAAAAATGGATAGCGCATCGGCCTATCGTGATAAAGGACCATGGTTCGCACCCACCCGCCAGCAAGTGTCGAGGATATTAATGTCGAGGATTCGGTTACTAATCGTCTGAGGATATAGGTAATAAAAAATTAACGGTAGCAATACTACGGGATATTTTTTAGTATAATTATATTATGCAATACAGTTAATTTTCCCTTACTTGTATGGGGTTTTCCCCCCACTTTTTTCAGGTACTTTTCCTGTACGATTAGGGAATAGTACTTAACTTGTTGTGTAAATTTACTCTACATTTAAGAGGTAATTTTACCTTACATGTAGAGGTAATTAGCTTCCCTTACATGTAAGGTAATTTTACCTCAAAGTTTTTTACAGTGCACTAGCTACGCTTCTGAGAATGCATTTTCATTAGAACCCTTCCACCGACCCGTCTCCCAATATTAGAATCGTAACACCGACCTACTCTCACACTGTTCCAGTAAATGAAACAGCATCCACAAGGGAGCAGAAACCATCCGTCAAGAGTCATGTCAGAGATGCTTCTTATAGAAATGCTAAAATAACAGATCTATTCGCGTAGGATAGCCGCAAATCATACAAGAGTATCAAGAACCTCAATGAAGGAAACGTCTTCCCATTTTTGTGACCAGCCAAGGACTGAGCATTCAGCGAGTGCATGTGCTCGGACGAGGTCACCTGTATAGACATAACAAGAATATTCTGTAGAAGGGAACAACGTGAAGATGATTCGGAAAGTGATTAATCTTAATAAAGTCTCTCATCCCGCTTCTTCTGTCGAAATCCCTGTCGGTGATCTAGAGAAATAAAAGCAAGACGACCTGTGCTTCTATTTCCACGTTAAAATTTTTCGAAAACAGAAACGAGGCACAATGGATACAGTGACTTGCATGTAATCTTTGTGCACACAGTAAATAATTGGATTGGTATTTTAAAGGACAGTTTTAATATGACGCCTTTTTTCCTGCCATTCAAGTGTGTTGTGCTAACGTTTTAACTTTTCATAGACATTTTTTTCATATCCTTCAATGTAATTATTTTTCTAACAACATTTGTGAATTTTTAAATTTTTTTATTATTATTTATTTTTTGTATTTTTGTGATGTAATTTGGAGACCTATATTTCGAGATTTTTTCTTACGCAGCAATGCACTAATTGCGACATAGACAATCTGTTAACAGACAGAGTATCAACAACTTATGAAATACGCCGAGGAGACAGAACATTGACACCATGCTAAAATATATTAAAATATAAATGTTTGGTAGGATCTTACGAGACAAAATAAAAATGGTATATATTAGGGACTTTTAACAATATTAATAGAACATGGAGACCGTGCCATAGGGGGAATTAAACCTCGCCAAATAACGAACTATGAGGTGGGAACCATAGGTGTTCATGTTTCTGAATGTCAACATGAAACCAGAGCTCTCAAAGCGGCAACAGAATGCAATGCTGGGGGATCGAGAATGCGCTGAGGAAATTCTAATCACGCGGTACTCGCAGAGTTCCGGCAGAGGGACACGGCAGCATCCGCTGCAATACCCACGTAAAAATCCCCATGTAGCCGCTGCGCCAACTTGAAACCTTTGTCGGTAGAAAGCAAATTTCGGTGTCACGAACTCCCAGCAATAACGTGCTTGTGCACAAAGTTTCAGCACACATCGGAACATTTCTTATTAAAAAAAAAAGGCGCTTAGATCGTATTCATGTTCAGCGGTCCATAACAGAAATGTTTAAGTATTTGGATTTAAAAAAAATTGCTAATCCTCTACAAAAACACCAAAGGTATAAAGCCAGCAAACACCTGTCCTGGCGATTCATTGTAAATTGAGCACTTTTTTGAGGCCCTAACTACTTTTTTCTATTGGATAGTTTTTTATCTTACCACCGTTTTTATTGGCTATGCACTGTAAAGTGAGCACTTTTTGAAGCTCTCTCATTTGGAATAATAGTAAATAAATATATTTTATTATAGCCTTAAATGTTAACTTTCGAGTCCTTTGAAGTATATACACTGTGTTTATTACGTGCATGACAATATTTATTTTAAAAAGAGGCGGAAGGATAAAAAATGGCTGATAGGAAAAAGTAACTAGCGCCTCAAAAGTGCTCACTTTACAGTGAACAGCCAATATATAAGTTTGATAAATAATTAATAAACACAGTGTATGTATTTCACCAGACTAAAAGTTAACGTCTAAGGCTACAAGTGTGTGTGTGTATATATATATATATATATATATATATATATATATATATATATATATATATATATATATATATATAGACTATTACTCCGAATGAGAGGGCTTCAAAAATGCTTACCTTTCCGCGAATAGCCTATAATATAATGTACATCTGTAAAAGGCACCATCTGTAAAAGGCACACATATCTATATGGTAATTCAGGAATTTGAACTATAACCTTATTGCACTGTGGTACCTCTTCAAACTCGCTGAAGTAGAACCTTACATCGCCATATTAAATTCTTGGATTTTTTAGCATTTATATATTTAAAAAAAATATATATATATAGTTCCGAAAGTACCCCTATACCCAACTCGCTACTATTTACTCTGCACTGCAGCATGGACAAGACAAAGGAACTACGAACTCATAATTACGTTACATACTAATTCTGCCAAAATTTATAAAAATCAATATTGTGACGTAAATACGAATTAGTAGTTTAGTCGTTATATATGTACTGTACTGCACTGCTAAATATATAGTGTCAAATGTAGTATCGTGATTGAAGTCACCTAAGGCCTCCTTCACTTATTAAGGTTACCCAACCAAACTGACCTAAACTAATTTAACGTAAGGTAATCTAACCTAATCTGACCTAACCTGACCTAACCCAACACAACCTTACCTAACCTAACCTAATCTAACCTAATCCAGACTTAATCTTATTTCAGTCAGTTAGGTATACGGGCACTTCGGAAATAATCTTTTCGGAAAAGGAGAAACAAGACCCCGATGAAATGGCAGGGTATAACGCGACACCAACCACCGTATATCGACAACTCCAAATGTTTCTGATATTCGGTACGGTATTAAAACTGCACTCCAGAGTCATTGATTCAAGGCCGGCAGGCTGCATAAACTGCACTTTATACCAAGTAGCAATTCGCTCCCATTCCATGCCTGGACCTCAAAGTGCACAATAAAAAAATCTTCACCCATTTGATTAAGTACCTAAGTAGATCGTGTACTTCAAAATGAATATATATTATTATTGTAATCGTCCCAAAACTTTCTCGCTAGGTAAAATATAGTGACAGCTTTCGGAGTGATCATCGGTGATCGTCTTAATTGATACGAATGTGCCGAAGTGTTCTTTCATGGAAAATACCTATATATGCTTTACGCACAGTAGCGATGCTTGGATTGCACATTCCACACCTGAAATGTATTATTTTATCATAGAGTTTCTGTGTTTCCGAATCTGTATGGTTTAAAATTTATTCCTCAATTTTTTTTATTCCGCAATAATTATAACTACATTAAATTTTATATCACTTTCGTGACTTCTAATATGTGATTTGCCTATTAAATCGCCTCACACACCCAGCGAACGTATAACAAATGCCTTTAAAATTAATAAACATTATGTAGCTCATTACATTGTTTTCTGAGCATCATTTAACCGGATAACGAGAGCTATTACTTCATCAGCTGAGCATTTCAGGCACTAAGTCAATTAATCCTGCGTCGCAGACTTTATGAAGTGAATCTTCGTTTAAACTAATTAACCCAGGTTGCGGTAATTGCATTCTTGTTGATGCCAGTGTCCTTGTGAAGGAAAAGGGGATGACATCATTAGCTCGGACTAATTAGAACTATTATTAAAATTAAAAGTATAGCATCCATTCCTACAAGGTTCCTGTTTTTTATTACACATTTTGTTTTAAAGCTAATTTTCTTCATTGCATGGAGGAAACGCAATAGTTCTTAAATAATACGTTTCTAAAATATACTATCAAATGTAGTTGTAAAATGATTGTTTGTTAGGAACTGTGAGATGATGTAAAGTGGAATGGAGAGGTATTTTGCAGCTCTTAAAATCGGGGTCGATGAGGGTGGAGCGAGGTGAGTATGGAACAGCGCCTGGATGTTAGGGCGGGGGAAACAGGAGATCCCCGAGAAAACCCTCCGACCGTCGGCATCTTCCGGTACGGTTTTCCAACTTGCGAAAATCTGGGAGCTACCACGCCGGGAATTGATCCCGGTTCGTCTTGGTAAGAGGCGAGCGCTCTAGCCTCCACTGTTCCACCGCGGCCCCTTGTGAGATAATGGCAAAGTAGTTTGGGGATAATGTGGAGTTTGTAATCAGTTTCTTCGTTTACATGCCGAGTACTTGAACGAACACACTTCCGCGCATTAAAATGTTTTTAACTAACAGCCCCATTCCAAACAACCAAAGTTCGCACGTATACATGAGTCACGGTCAAAAGAGCAATTTTTAAAAGTCTTGCTTAGTTTCTTCTTTTCGGCTTACTGCATGTTCCTCCACGACGTACGAAACGTGTTGCCCCTGAACATGAAAATATCAAGGGGCGGCAATTTTCACTGAAACGTCGATGAGAAGGGGAGGAGTTTAGAAGCAGGTAAGCCAAATGTGCCGAACTTACGAGTTTTTCTTCCACCAAGTATTAAAATTTAAGTGGCAAACAGTTGGAGTAGTTTCAGAAGTGAAGTGCGTTGTCAACCAAGCGCAACTTGCGACATATTTGAAGTAACCAAGCTGCTGCAAAGCACCTGGTGAAATTT